AGAGCGAGGAGAGATGAGACACAGCGCTGGACACGTCAGGGCTCTGGAGTAATGCAGAGCACTGATTTTCAGACTGTGAGGACTCAAAGCCATCTTTTGATTTCTGAAGCTCTGTGTTACCTCTTGGGCTCCTGTTTGTTTCAGTGTTGCTTTCTGCAGTCTTTAGCAGTCTCACCTCTTACATCTTGCCATAGGTTATGAGGACGTGCTATGAATATATTGATTCATTTCCACACTCACAACCCTACTGTCTGCCACTGGTCTTATTCTCTCTCATGAAATAATTCTGGAGACGGTGTGCTGTGTGTGTCAGGTCAGAGATTACAGCTATTCTGCCACAAACAGCACAATACTTCACCTGCTTTCCTCTTCTTTTCAGTTGTCCGCATCCTACTGTGTTTATTGTTCTTCTTTCATGGACAGCTGAATACTTGACTTAATTGAAGGTGACTTCAAACTTATATTCATTATTAGCCTACATGGTTGAATAAAGCATATGGATAAAAGTAGCAATGAAGAAGGGGTTACTTATGATACATAAATCCTTATTAAATATTAAATTCTTTCTTTCCATATATATAAGATACCAAAGAATAAATCTTTTAAGTATTTCCATGAATTTGCCCCAGTGTTTCAAAGTCCTGATATTAAAATTGTGCATCTAGTCTGTGTGAAAAATTACTTTTTAAAGCAATTATGATACCGTGGGATTCCGTGTGTGTTTAGTTTACACTTTACATCATTAACCTGTAACTACAGAAATTAATATGTAGTATTCAACCTCTTGCAAGTTTTCAAACGTTTAACATAAAAAGAATTAATCATGGAAGTATAGTCTCTCTCTTTCCCATTAATCTCTCATTTTCTCACAAAAGCAACCTCTTCTAATGGCCATACTTTTGCCCTAAACCTTAAATATCATTGAGGTGCAGTATGTCTTGGCAGGGTCAGAAACATTACTTTAAGATGTTGTGATTTCAAGTTGTATAAAAGATAAATATTTTTTAAATCCCTGGTTATCGATGGTGAACTGGGAAAAAAATAACTTTAGAAAACCACCTGTGAGGATGATTTCTCACACTTTTCAAACTATAATAGAGATTTTATGTTACTTTGGCTGGATGTGGCAGGTTACTTCTTGTTGCAAAAACCTATGTTAAAGAATAAATACTCATTTTCTCAATTGATTCCTCAATCTTAAATATCCTATACCACACTCTGAGCCCACAGGGGTTCCAGCAATGCTATGGAGGGGTGTTAACAGGGAGAAACAGGTCTCAGAGTCTTACAAGTGTGTTTGATGAGATACCTACTGTATTGTACCATAGTGGAGTATTTTCATTTATCCAGGGAGATCCTAAAAGTTTTGTCGATTATTCCTTCTTCAACTTTGGGCTATTTTGGCTTATTTATACTCATTAATCAACTTCATTCAGTAATACCACAGAGAAGACCTAGGTAGTTGCTACACCAAAACTTCTCTAGAGGGATGTGCACTACAGTCAATTATGTGCATCAAAATTATCAGTTTTATCTTTGTGTCAGATTCCATCCACTGCTGTGTTGGTGCTTTTTTACCTTTTCCAGGGTTCCCACCTAGAACTGAAACTGCTGTGTTGATGCTTTTTTACCTGGAAAGGTACAAAATACCTTTTCCAGGGTTCCCACCTAGAACTGAATTCAAAGGCCGTTGAACCAGTGGAATAAGGTTTTGTTTGGGGTTACTGCTCACTGGGGAGATGGTTGACTCCATAAAGAGAGAGCAGGATGGATCTGTAAGTCAGTGATGGACAACACAAATGGTGATTTTGAAGGCATCCCAAAATTTGATATAATTGTTTCTTCTGGCTGAGGACAGCCCAGGATTAGAGCTGCTAGAAAATTACTGCTCTTCAAATAAATTGGATGTAGTGGTGTAAAAGGGATGCACCACATTTGGCTGCTTAGTCTCTTCTTTACCTCACTGACCTGAGTAGTTGAAAGAAAAAAGGGCTTTGTAAAAACTTAGCTGAGAAAGGTGAAAGGATTAACTCAGAAGTTGCAGCTTTGATGCTTTTTTGGTAACAGCTGTCAAATATAAGCATCTCTAAATGAGTTTGCAAGAAGTGGGTGTGTACGTTTTACTGTAATTTAATAACTTTTTGTAGCCCTTGAATTGTGCCGGGCACCCTAGCATGTCCTCTTTTTGTCTGGCTGTCTCTACAGTCTTTGCAAATATCTTTTATTCATACTTTGTAACAGCTTTTTTACCGTTTCTCATTTAACCATCTGTTAAGGGGCAGTTACACCAAGGAGACAGTTAGATATTCTTCTTCCTGAGCCATAGTCTCTTGAGGTGCACAGCACACCATGAGCAACACTGCTTCCACCCTCTTCACCCTCCAAGCAGTGTCCTGGGGTGAGGATTTGAAACACCAAGACGGTGCGTTACCCTAATTGCAGCCAGCAGTTTTGACTATTTTTCCACCAACTGGCAAGTCTCGGAATTATTGTGGGTTTTGAAGGGAAGAAAAGACACCATCCACCTTCTGTATTCTTAGCATTCCTGCACTGATGTAAAATACACTGAGATTATTTTGAAGAAGAACGCTTTTAAATTCCTTTTCCCAAAGTTCACTTGATAATGCTGTCAGAAGTGGCTGGCTGTTAAAGGGAGAAGGAAGAGGAGTAAACAAGATAAAAAGCTACTCGTCTTTATTTGCATCAGACATTTCAGCCTGTGCAGCAGCTGGGGAGGATTCCGTGGGAAAAGCCCCTGCTGCTCAAAGGCATCGCAACATGCAGCTTTGTTTAGCTTAATTTTTTTATTCATGGAAGGTGGTAGGAATTGTGGGCAGGGAGGCCTTGGGAGGTGCTGGCTTTTTCCACTGACGGTGGCAGGTGATGGAGACCTGTTACCTTTTAGAGTCATTTTACAGACAAAAGTCTTCTACAAAATAAGGCACAAGTCTTCTATAAAATAGGGCTTTTTTGGACTGAATTTCATCTTCATCTGCAAGGCAAGTTGCCTTCCATAGCATCATGCTTGTAAGGAAATAGAAAGTACGTATTAATTTATCTTAATCCCATGAATAAGTTAATTGCTTTATAGAATCATGGAATCATAGAATTGTTTTGATTGGAAGAGACCTTTAAGATCATCAAGTCCAACCATTAACCCAGCACTTCAAAGTTACTCCTAAACCATGTCCCTCAGCACCACATCTGCACACCCTTTAAATCCTCCTAGGGACGGTGACTCCACCACTTCCCTGGGCAGCCCGTTCCAATGCTTGACAACCCTTTTCCATTAATCAAGGAGATAATTGGTGTCATTTTCCTGAATATTAGGAAAAAAAAATTCACTGAAAGGGTTATCAGCCATTGGAATGGGCTGCCCAGGGAGGTGGTGGAGGCACCATCCCTGGAGGTGTTCAAAAGACAGGTTGATGTAGTGCTGGGAGGTATGGTTTAGTGATGGTGATGCTTCTTGTTTGTTGTGCGGGTGTCTATTTTTGTCAGTTAGGTTGGTGGTTGGACAAGATGATCTTTAAGGTCCCTTCCAAATTAGAAGATTCTGTGATTCTGTGATTCCATCGGGGCAAAGTGGGAAGGTGGAAAGGTCAGAGGAGGGGAACTGGATGTTGCACCTCATGCCTTGTTGAGCTTTGCGGGCACCTGATCTGCTTGGGAAGGAGAGCGCCTGCCCTGTGCTAATGCCAGTTGTATAAACAAATACCCTCCTAGAGGCAAATGCACTGGAAACTGCCAAAAATTGCCGAAAATTGCCCATCCTGAAAGGCGAACATGTAGCACGCAGAGGAAATTTTTAATTAAAGTTTTCTAGTAGTTTTTAAGTTAGGATTTTTGTTTAGCGGGCTGTGCTAACAACTATCTGTATTTGTTTAGAAATTGTGAATTCCCTCCAGAGCTCTCCTTTGCTTTGTCCTGCTGACTTCCAAGAGACCAGAGCTGCCAAAGCTGAGATTTTCCCACTTAGAAGGGAGCTTTCAGCTCCTGCCTGTGATTTCTGTCCTTCCTCTTGGAGTTAGTGCCTGGGAGAAGGTGAAAGCATATTGCACTTGAGCACACTGTGTCCCAGGATATATTTCCCTTGAGGACTGTTACAAGCTGTCAGACTTTAGCGCAGACTCGAGGCTCCGACACATGCAATCAAGGAGCTTTAAGCTGTTTCCTGAAAAAAAAATCCACACCTTCAGTCTCCATGTAGCTAATTGTATACTGTGTAGAAATTATGATTCATCCTCTAAATGAGCTAAACCCTTCAGACCTCTAAATGTTCTTTGCAGTGTGTTAAAAAAATCTCAAAGTCTTTATCACGTGAAATTATGTTTGGGTTGGTGTTTTTGTGGGGTTTTTTTTTATCAGTCAAAACCCTCCCTAAGAGATAAACAAAAGAGATCCTTAAAAAATCCCTGAACTTCAGCAAAAATCCCTGTACTTAACACTTCAGAGATAAGGCGACACAGAGCGATTGGAGCTGGGATGGTATCCCAAAGGGAGCAATCACAGCATCCTTTATCTTCTCCCCCCCGTCCTGTACTGCACAGTTTCAGAGGTGGCAGATTCTTGGGCTGCAGGAATAGTTTCTCTGATCTAATTCAGCCATGAATATATAACATTTATATGTAATTTCATAAATATCTAAAATTATTTATATAGCACAACAGTGCGTGTAAATACTGGTACCTATTATTCTTGATATGACTCATGATACGATATTCATAAAGCAATTGAAAATTTTATTATACTTTTTAATGTTTGCAAACACCTGTATTTTTGGGACTCTCTGACCCATTGATTTCCTTTTAATTGCACTAATCACTTCTTGATGGTTTCAATTCTCCTAAATACAGCGATGATAACGCACTAAAAGTCTGCAAAATAGACTAATACATGGAGTGTTGCCATTGGCTTTAAAATGGAAATGCAACGTAGGACTTGTCTGGGTTGTTGTAGATCTAAAAATATGTATAAGAAATTTTCTCTGTATTTTTTAGGTCCCGAGGAAGCAGATCTCAAGTGCCCCCCGAATTCTGTGAACTGCATTGGTACAAACAAGTGCATTCACTTGTCCCAGCTCTGCAACGGGGTCTACGACTGTCCCGATGCGTATGATGAGGGAGTCCATTGCCGGGGTAAGTAAATGTCTTCTGCTATATTGGGTTGGGGATTTTTTTGAGTGCAAAGAAAACCACAACTTTCTTATTCCTGGGAATACATATAAAACAAAAATGGATTGATAGAAATATGTTTTAATGTATGCATCAAGGTGATTTTTGAAATATTTCATTTTAAAAAAATGCAAGTATAAAGTCCATACAGGTTTTCAGACTTTGTCTTTAACAATTACTGACCTTGCGCGATGGAAATGGTTGTACCAAAAGAAGGATGAGGAAGCCCTTTCTCAGGGAGCAAAGATTGGGTAGCACGCAATTTGCCAGAATGTTTTTTTTTTCCTTATAACTTCTGTTGAAACAAAAAAGCCAATGAAAAACACTAAAAAATACATCAGCTTTGCTTTGAGCATTATTCTGCATTGAGGACTTGCTTTTGAGAGGATTTTATTCTTACAATCTACTGTTTAAGAGGGTAGTTACCAAATTTTGTCAAGGAGAAATCTTAATTAGAAATTGGTGGAGGTCGACTTTTTTAATATCTCAGCTCTATTCCTCAGAAGACTTATTAAGGTCTGCCTTGGGGATAGTTATAAGATTGTCATATTAAGCCTAAATCTTGGATACCGTGAGTCATTAACATGTCAGTTATTCTTGATCAATAGATTTTATTGCTCAGATTGTTGATGGTTCTCAACAGATCTCATGTTCAAAATACACAGGGACAGGTCCTGGGGCTTCTGCTCCAATCCAATGTGACAATATATGGTAAAAGATACAATTAAGGGTATAGTTCAGAAAGTTAAATTAGAATTTAAAAGTTCACGTGGACAGATTTCCTGAACTGTCACAGTAAAATCTAAGCCTGCACCAAAAATAAGCGATATGGAAAAAAAAGCACAAAACCCCCAAAAAAGAACGGAAAAAAATGCCAGCTGGAATTAATCAGTGTAATACTGCTGACTTCACAATACCACCAGTAGTTATTTTTATATTACCAGATGAGGATACAGGCTGTCATAAAAAAAACGACAATTCTTATTCACAGTGATAGGGATAATTTCTTTTCTTGAAGGCTCTACTTTTGTACAGTCCTTGTTCAATGAGCATTATGCAAAATCAAAATTTGTGTCAGCACATTGATTTGAGTGCTGGTCCCAGCACCCAAAATACCCCAAACACTAAACTGGGCAAAGCAGTATTTGGCCTATCCTGAAGCTTGCTGAAGTTGCAGGGGAGTGTTTTTCAGAGAACTCGTCAAATGCATATTCCTGAATAATTCATATATTTGTATAAATTACTCCAGATTAAATGACACAGTATTAAAAACTTCCAGTGCTGAGTAATTATTGTATTATTACCGTCTTATATTTTTATTGTATTTTAACTCTTTAAATTAGGAGATTAATGGAATCAGAAAAAAAATAATAACTGATATAAACCCCTATGTTAGTCTAAATTAAATAGGTTTGGTTTTCATATGTAGCACTATGTATATGTAGCCTATGCTTTGGAATGTGACAGCACGTAAAATACCTAATATTTATTCATACTCTTCTAATTTATGCTCAAATACACCTTGTAAGGTTCATATTGATTCCCACTCATTTCTTTATTATCATATACGAATATGAAAACTTCTCAATGGTAAAACTAATGTCTGCTCTAATAAATTACCATAGAATTTAGTAAAATATACTAAACAAACATCTGCTCTAAAGCACCCAGAACACATAGATAATGAAGTTCTTTTGTATTATATCGCAGTATCTCATGTAGTAAATGGTTAACAACTCATTAATGTTGATTTTTGTAGCAATTATGTATTTTTATATGCTTATTAGAGGCAGTTCTTGAAATTATTAGTGGACACATTTCTATCAAGAAAGCCAAAGAATAGAGAAAACAGTCATTTTACATTATGATCATGTGGTTTGATGCTAACAACTGCCAAAAATGTGTCATTATGATACGTTCCTACGTGTTAGATATTTGGGCTGGATGCAGTATAGTTGTAATTATTCTCTCTTTCTATAAATATATGTATCAGAACAATGCATGGGGAACCATTGAGTCATTCTGTTGTACTTTCTTCTAAGTCCTGAATATGCAAGGCATATATTTAGATCATCTGTGTGGCTAAAAGCTGCAGAGTTGCTTCAGAAGCTCAGCTGAATAGTTAGCTTTTTCTTGATATTATTAACAAAAAAAGGCATTCTGATCATTTACTTAACGTTCTTCATATGAAATGTTGGATTGGAGAAGAGAATAGCGTTTTTAAAGATTTAATTGCAAACAACTCAGTTGGTCACCGAGCTGACTATGTTAAAATAATCTGTTGCTAGCGATGCTGATAGTGCTGTGTAAATAAGTCACGGATTGTGCACCAGGAAAATAAATTGTGATACAAAGCCTGGGGTGTGTGACCACGGCAAAGAACATTTCGGTGAACAGGGCACAGCTCCACAGGAGCAAAAGCTTCTAATAATGGTTTAAGAACTAACGGAGTATGAGCACTCAGTACCTGGAACTATTCTAATTTCTTTCTCTAAATTTAACATTCTTACATTAATTCATTATATCATGATCTCTGAGAGATATATTCAGGCCTGCACCTATTCCTGGGCAAGTAAAAATATGATCATATCTGCAGTGTGAAATGGTAATGTATGGGAAATTTCAAGGAAATAGTAGTAAATGCAATGACATTCCTGTCTCATCATCTTTTATTTCAGGCACATATGCATTTTTGCTGGTGAATGTAATGCATAAATTCAGGAGGGGTTGTGGCAATATGAAATAAAAAATGTTTTATTATGTACGGTTGTTTCACATTATGTGTTTCAATGTCCTTCAGAGGAGAAGGGGGTGCGTAGTTCACTGAAACTGAAACTCACAGCATATAATAGTGAGAAGACATCCGTGTTTGGTCATTTTGGATTCTTTGCTGTTTTTTGACTAATTAAAGAATGCTTTAGAGAGGCTGCATAAGCAAGGGATCAAAGTATATACTAAACCCTCCTCTAAAGCGTGAGTTGGGGCTGTTCAGCTTTCTGAGATTCACCAGATAATTTCACCCCCATCCACTCATGCTGAATGGGGAGCTGGTGCCCATCACCTCTTTGGAGGCTTGATAAGCCTTAAATAAAGTTTACCGTTGCCAAAACTAGACCCAAGCTTGAGTGGTTCTGGTAGAGGACTGATCCGGAACCACTCTTGAGAATTAAATTTCTTTCTTTAACACAGTTCTTCAGGTTTCTTTTGAGAGCCAGGTCTTTATCTCAGTTGTATTTTCAGCCACTTTTAAAGCTCAGCCATGCAATGAGCTGAAAAGTCTTCTGGCACAGGAGACTCACTGAATTATTGCAAGCTGAACTATTTGGCTCTAGGTCTTTCCTTCCCATGGCTCATCCAGGGGTATCTTTGATATGGGACTGGCACTGGGTCTGGCTGTGGTCAGTTAAAGTAGGTGTGATATGGCTACAGCTTGTCCCAGCCTCTGATTCTGTGGTCTTATGAAGGTTAAAAAACCTCATTTTGTTCCAAAGACTTTAGGAACAGCTTAGACAAATATCCGTTGCGGATTAGACGGAGTAACCTGGCCTTGAGCAGGTAAAGGATTAGATATATCCTTAAAATAATTTTGAGAGAATTACAATCACTGTGAATCTTAGAAAGGGTTTTTTGTTAAGCTGCAGAGGTGATCTGTGCAGTTTTATAAATCAGTACTTATATGTATGTATTTATATATATGGCAAAAAAATTGAAGGTGGTACAACAAGCTTGATTTTCGGTCTGTCTCTGAATTATAGCTATAGAACATTAGAACTTTTACAGAGTATAGAAAGGTCCTTTTTCGCTTAACAAACTTAAAGGATAAGTTATTCTGAATAGCTGCAGGAAGAGTTATGCTAAAGTTCTGGATAGCCCAGTCAGAAAATACTAAAAGAATACTGAAAACAAAATGCAAATACTTTGCATCCCTTTGGCTTATACCAATTTATCATAAAATGGAACATTTTTGGAACAATTTCTGAGAAGCAAAGCTCATGTGGAATTAAGAGGCCCAGATAAGAGCCCAGTGAAGGCACTAAGTGCACACTGATGCTCTGGCTTTAAAGTCGAAGTATATTTTGCATTATAGTGCGATACCCATCGCGTGTCTGTGGACGGTGTTACATTATGCAGTGGGAATACTGCAGCAAGTTCAGCCAGCCTACTTGACAAGATGGAATAGTAACAGCATTAATTGTATGGACACTTCTCCAATGGACCCACTCACCGTAAAGTATAGTGGGATCTCATGAAATAGGCTTCTGTCCCAGCCTTGAGATGGATTGTGCTCTGTATTGGGAATACTGCAGCAAGTTCAGCCAGCCTACTTGACAAGATGGAATAGTAACAGCATCAATTGTATGGACACTTCTCCAATGGGAATATAGGGAGTATAGTGGGATGTATATGGGAGTATAGTGGGATCTCATGAAATAGACTTCTCTCCCAGCCTTGAGATGGATTGTGCTCTGTATTTCTTTGATTTGAGGATAAACAAGGCAGGGATTTGGGAAGGGGATGCTGTGTGGATTCCCTGGAAGTCTACTTGCACTAACACCCTGGAGTGCAAAGGGTTGAGCAGCTTCTTGAGGATGCTGTCTCTCATTCTAGTTGTTCCTACTGATTACCTACCGGTAGTATCGGCCAGTATCCTGGCTCTGTGACTCACAGGAGTCACTGGACCAGGGCTCGGTGGAGCTCAGGACTTTGGTCTTCCTGGCTCTGATTCCCAGCAGCTCCTCACTGAAGATGGAGTTGCATGAAAAATAGGCCTGTATCTTTTCCTATCTGAAATAGTGATTATTCAGATTGCTTATACCCTCTCATATTGAAATTAATCATAATTGCAAGACTGCAACATCCATTAAAGCTTGCTATTTGGAGAGTTGTTATACATAAGGTGATTACCTGGTTGTCTACCTCTCTGTGTACTTAGCACCGTCGACAAGATGAGCCTGGTCATACAG